TTAAAAACAGCTGTTGTATTGCAGGTGTTTCTCTTTTGGGATTGGGGAAGGGGCCAGCTCTGCTCTCATCAATGGGATGGCCAAGGAAGGAGGAGGTCACGCTCAGTTCATCACAGGGACTGACAGGATGCAACCAAAAGTAAGACAATGACTCATAACAAATTACAGTAAAAAAAAAATTGTGTTTTTAGTTTGTTTTATTTGTTTTTAGTTTGGATGGAAGATATGATTTTGGTTTTTATACTCATCAGGTGATGCAGTCGCTGCGATTTGCTCTGCAGCCAGCTGTGGAAGATGTTTCTGTTACATGGGATTTACCAAAGGGATTAACTGTCACCGTCCTCTCTCCACCAATCACAACCATTTTCCAGGGTAAAAGGTCACTGATTTATGCACAGCTTACTGGACAGGTAGGAACAGCATCTTCTCACAGTGAACAATCTCTGTGTTTATGCTTGTCATGTTTTGAAATAAAATGAAATTGGTTTAACACTGTAATTCTGTGTCAGAGCTCAGAGGCAGCAGAGGGCTGTGTGACGGTGAAGTACAGCCTGGCAGGTCATCCCTCTGAGAACCAGCTGCACTTCAGTCTCAGACCTGCAGAGGACGCTGGGTAAATGAGCTGTTAATCCACTGGTACAATTACATACTGTATTTACTTTACAAAAGCTTACTTTTTATGTCTGTATGATCTAAAAAATATTGGTCATTGTGACCATGTCACCATACCAATATTTTCTCTTGTCTGTAGCTTAATAGTCCACAGGTTAGCTGCTCGGACTCTTATTTGCTTGCTAGAGATGGAAGCAGAAAACAATCAGGAAAAAGAAGAAGTAAAAAAGAAGGTGGTGCAGCTGAGTGTCCAATCAGGAGTGAGCAGTTCTTTCACTGCTTTCATTGCTGTCAATAAAGACAACAACAAGGAGATTCAAGGACCTCTTCTGCACCGAGATATTCCAAGTAACATGAATAATTAGCAATCCTATCTACTTCATATTGCTCTTGGGGCATTCTTATCTTATCTTATCTTATCTTATTAGTGGCTGGTCTAATGGGATTTGCTGCTACCCCTTGCTGTCTAAGAGCTAATATTTCCAGTTTTTCACCTGGTGAGTACAAGGTTTGTTACCTTTGCAAACACAGTGTGAGTACTTCTACAAACACAGGTGTGTGTTTGTGTGTGTGTGAAAAAGAATAATTAGTTATAAGAACAAATTGGAGACTATTAAATACATATGATTCAAACCACTTCAATGCACTTTTTTAAATACCTTTTGTATACAGTAATACAAACAAAATGAGAGAACTTCGACAATCATACGACCCCTATGAGCAAGCGCTTTGGTGACTGGGAGGAAAAACTCCCTTTTAAAAGTAAAAGTGCGCACACACACGCTGACACACAAAATATATAAAGAATTCACCTATTGCCCCTGCGGAGAGTCTGTCCTTCAAGCTCACATCCTCTTCCAGAGGCCTGGGAGCTTGAAAGTAACGTATTTTTCAGACCATTAGGCGAACTGGATTATAAGATGCATTAAGCACTGAAGTTTGGTCCGTTTTCAGCGTCCTGTCATTTGACTGCATTTGTCCCTAACCCTCACTTTAACTTTTATCAAGTAGACAAAAGTTAGTGTTCCTCCTCCAGCTTCACTGTGTTTATGTTATGCTAACATAGCTGTGTCGCTAGCAATCACTTAGCACATCATTATCTACCAGCTAGCCCAACTTCAGTAACCGTACAAAAGTTATTGCTGTTTAGTTTTCTGTCTTCATTTATGTTGGAACTGATAGCAAAGCTTTACGTTTTAATTTTTTCTGAAATTTCATGAATTCTGTTTTCATGGATGCCTGGGTGTTAAACTTAATTGTTACACCTGGAAAAGCAGCAACGCTGATCATTTTATTAAGAATGAAAGCGTTCAGGCAGTTTTTAGCTCTCAGTGATGCTGCAGTCTTCGTTTGACTTTGGGACCTGAAGCGGACAGAGTTTTGGACCCAGATTACTCCGCGAGGCTCCTGACTACAGTAGCCGTAATGCTCCGACAATCCATCAAGCAGTGCGGCTTTGTAGGTTACCAATGTCGCACGAAGACATTTTTGACTGATTTTTGAGCCGTGTACAATCAGTTCAAGGTCGGTAAGCACAACCAGAATTCATACATAAGGCACACTGCCGATTTTTGAGAGAAATTAAAAGATTTTAAGTGCGCGTTAGATTGTGGAAAATACGGTAAAGTTCACTGGATGAAGCGTTTTCAGTGGGAGTAATGTTTGATCACTCATCCAAGTGACTTCTTCAGTCTGGGGTGGGTTTTTGTTTTCTGGTAGTTAGTTTTGGGATTGCTGACACAGACCGAGTTAGTCTGAGTTATATAACGTCAGATGATTTGCTCATGCTGACAAATTCTCGTCAGACAAGTAAAATGAGATCCCACAAGCTTTTACTAAATTTTGCATGCAATGAAAGAAAAATGTTTACTTGTGTTTTCATTGGGAGTAGAATTATAAGTGTGTGTGTTCACTGTTGCATTTCCTTTGAAAAAGCAGGTCTCGATTACTACTGTGCAATGGATGACTCTGAAGGTATTTGTTTTGACTTCTTTGCTTTAAATGGACACACTTGAATATGTACTGATTCTTTTCCAAGTGTAATTTTGATTTTTCTACTATTAATTTTAACTTTCAAAATTTTAAAATACAGAGGTTTACATTTTGTTAAGTGTTGAGTATGCTACTACATTCAGTGTGCAATGAGGGGAAAAATGTATTAATTTTGATTACAACTTCAAGTGTGTGTGCTCAGTGTTGAATTTCCTTTGAAAAAGCAGATTCTGATATGGATTTTGGAAACCCTCCAGAATTCGAAGACGAGTGCTATTACGAAGGTATCTGTTTTGACTTCTTTGTTTTAGATAGACACGTTTATCTTTAGTTGGATAGCAAAAGTCATCTAGACCTTAATATCTTTAAGTCATTCCTGTAGTTTAATTCGTTTTATTTTTTGACTCTTTGCTTAGGGATTCTTTTCAAGCTGTCAATTTTGATTTTTCTACTATTAATTTTAACTTTCAAAATTTTTAATAAAGAAGCATTTACATTTAGTTAATTAAATGTTAGCATGTATGATATTGCATAGGATTTTTAATTTTGATTAACTAGAGATGGACCGATCCGATATTACGTATCGGTATCGGTCCGATACTGACCTAAATTACTGGATCGGATATCGGAGAAAAATAAAAAATGTAATCCGATCCATTAAATATCACGAAAGCACCTCACAAAACTTGCAACACGCCGTAACTCACCTCAGAACGTTAGCACGTCGGAGCAGTATGCATCACGTGATAGAGCGGCTGTGGCATGCGGGACCTGTCGGTGGTCTGGATAGCATTTGGAGCTTCGCTAGCAACCCGGCATTTCATCTCCGACAAAGTTATCCCCGGGAGAAGTAAAGCAAGTGTGTAAGTCCATCTCTGAATGTTTGTAAAGCATTCCTGCGTTAAGCTTAACGAGCGACTGCCTCTCGCTCTCCTGCTGCTACTTCAATCATGAAACTGCTTAATGATCAGCTGATCGGCTTTTCTGTCGCGAGTCCGTCTCTCTGGTTTGTTTTTGGCCCACTTTGCACCAGAAAGAGGAAACCAGCGGCTGAACAACAGCAGCACGTTTAAGCTTGATCAGCTGTTGTTAGAATTTATTTATTATTACTTTCTACTCCAGGATCTTTTTCTACGTAGCTGACGGCTGGTAACTGTGCAGGGGCGGATCTAGCAAAGTTTAGCCAGGGGGGCCGATAGGGCATGAACAGGGAAAAGGGGCACAAAGACATACTTTTCTTTCTTATTCTCATTTAAAATGTCTTTTAATAAATAATTATCTGAATCTTACACCCAAAGTTTTAATTTGATGTAAAATGAATAGAAGTCCATTACTGTATATAGTAACTGTTAAGTCTAATATACCCTAGTAAGCTATAGTACTTTTTCCTTTGGGAAGGTACCATCTGTGCAGTCTGCAATTTTGTTGAAGAAAGATGTTGAATCTATTTAATATTTCTTGAAAAATAATTGATTTCTGTGCATTTTTTTTCACACTGCATCAAATTAAGGTTGATTACGTCGATTAAGCATCATGAGGTGGAGCGTGAGGGGTGGTTCCCTATTTTTTATTTATTTATTTTTGTTGCTGGGAGTTGGAACCCTATTAGTTAGGTTGCTTAATATTTATGCTAAGTACTCTTTAAAATACCAGAATAGGGAGGATGGTGTAGGTTTAAGTTTATTAGATTGATCAGTATTGCTGAACTATGAAATATTTTTTTTGCATACAGGTATAACAGAATAGCTTTAGTGTAGTTGTTGTTTTAAACTTGAGTATGAACTTATACAAAATGCAGCAAGATATTTAAAAAACAGTTTTGTTGATTAAAAAACACTATATCGGATTCATATCGGTATCGGCAGATATCCAAATTTATGATATCGGTATCGGTATCGGACATAAAAAAGTGGTATCGTGCCATCTCTATTAACATAATTCATTCATGTTATCTGAACATTTTGATACTGTGCAATGGATGACTCTGAAGGTATTTGTTTTGACTTCTTTGCTTTAAATGGACACACTTGAATATGTACTGATTCTTTTCCAAGTGTAATTTTGATTTTTCTACTATTAATTTTAACTTTCAAAATTTTAAAATACAGAGGTTTACATTTTGTTAAGTGTTGAGTATGCTACTACATTCAGTGTGCAATGAGGGGAAAAATGTATTAATTTTGATTACAACTTCAAGTGTGTGTGCTCAGTGTTGAATTTCCTTTGAAAAAGCAGATTCTGATATGGATTTTGGAAACCCTCCAGAATTCGAAGACGAGTGCTATTACGAAGGTATCTGTTTTGACTTCTTTGTTTTAGATAGACACGTTTATCTTTAGTTGGATAGCAAAAGTCATCTAGACCTTAATATCTTTAAGTCATTCCTGTAGTTTAATTCGTTTTAATTCGTTTTGTATCATCTGGTTTCATGGGCTGAGAGTCATCTGCAAAGCAATGCAAAAGAGTTCAGTGTTTTCTAATAATATTGCCTAAACAGGTGTAACATAAGAAGTATTGGTCCTAGTACAGAACCTGGTGAAATTTATAAAATACCTTTTGTATACAGTAATACAAAAAAGAGAGAAATCCAACAATATGACCCCCTATGAGCAAGCGCTTTGGTGACTGTGGGAAGGAAAAACTCCCTCCTGGCTGCGACAGGTTGGGATGAGGGTAGGAAGACAGGACAAAGACACACTGTGGAAGAGAGCCAGAGAGGAAGAATAATGCAGAGAGGTGTATAAACACATAGGGAGTGAAGAAGGTGACTGAAGAAGAATTACTCAATGCACCATGGGAATCTCCCGGCAGTCTAGACATAATGCAGCATAAATAAGGAAGGAATTAGGGTTACCTGATCCAGCCCTATCTATATGCTTTATCAAGAAAGGACGTTTTTAATAGGGCTGGGTATCGTCACTGATTTCTAGAATCGATTCAATTCCGATTCACAAGGTCCCAAATTGATACGATCCACAATTTGATTTGATTCGATTCAATTCAATTCGATTTGAATCTGGGAAATTTTGACAGTCAGAAATATTATAATTCAGATCAGTACATTTACATATTTTTGTATCTAAAAAGGAAGCTGACACACGCAAGACTTTATCAAAGGTGTGAGCGTCACAGCAGATGCCTTTGTGTCAAAGTAGCTGAAGATAAAACACAGAAAAACATGAAGTTTTCCTGGCCTGGGATTTTATAAAAATATTCTGCAGTACATCAAAAACGAAAGAAAACCATTAATCAACATATGAACATTACCTCTGAAGTTACAGCGGTTTTATTAGAGACACGGCTAAGCGTTTTGCATTTTGAATAATTTTAAAAAGTTTAAATTTGTTCAGTATTGAACGGCAGAAATTAGGTTTTCTTTTCGGAAGTAAGAAAAAAAAAACACCGACTGCGCTGTAAACAACGGTAGACTTGTGCCTAACAAGCAAGCGAATAATGCAAAAAACAGATTTTTAGACGGGAAACTGTTGTTGAAGTACAGAGAGAGAGAGAGCTGTGCATGAAGTGGTGGAAAACAGCAAAAGTCAGAGATTCATGACGATGTTTATGTGAAGCGTTTTGGATCTTCTTTTGCTGCTGGTTCAGTCAATATTGTTTGGAGAGAGATAAAACTACAGCTTTAGAATCAGCACAAAAAAGGCGTACACACAAAGCGCGGACCCGCCGAAACATCAGAATCAGCGAGCTGTCGGCTTTCAGCCCCGACCGTGTCCGTGCCGTCAGGTGAGAAAGGCGACATCTCACTGATTCTGATCCGCGGGTCCGCGCTGTGTGTTTACGTCTTTGTGCAGAATCCGTGTTCCTGCTCTCATTTACTGTCTTAGCTGTTTGGTGGTTGTTGAAATTTCAGGTTTCACCAGAGATTCTGGCATTTCGAGCAAAATAAATTTATATTTAAAAAATCGATTCAGGATTTTAATGAATCGATTTCACGTTATCCAAGCCAGAATCAATTTTAATCGATAAATCGATTATAAAAACCCACCCCTAGTTTTTAACATAGTCTTAAAAGTACAGAGGGTGTCTGTCACCCAAATCCAAACTGGGAGCTGGTTCCACAGGAGTTAAACACAAGAACAGCTCAGTCAGAGAGCGGCTGATACGATACTATAAAGTCTTTAATATAAGGTGGAGCTCGATTATTCAACACCTTGTATGTGAGGAAAAAAAGATTGCAACATGTGGATGCAAACCGAATCAATGGAACTATTTTCTTAATTAACTAAACTCTTTTTCTAAAATATTGCTCTGTTAATTCCCCCCAATTAAGATGATTTTATTAACTAAATAGAAGGAGAGTGATCAGCATAAATAAATTTCCCCTTTAGCACTGCCGGATGAAGAATTTCCACCTGCTAAGAAGCCACCCAGAGACCCTTTGCTACAGTTAGTCTCCCTCCAGAAGGCGTCTGGCTGCTGGCTGCTTGATCCAGCTCTGGCTGCTGCACTGGGAAAGACCAACCAGGAGGTGGAAAAGTCAAAGCCTGAAAAGGTGGGCTATTAAATAAATAATAACACAGTAATAGTGGGTGTTTGTAACGTATTCATTAAAATGGTTTCAAAAGTGAATTTTCAAAATTACACACTCATGTTAACGAACATCTGCAAGCTGCCTCACTTAATTTAATATTTAACTACATGACTGCTGATTCTATACACTAGGCCAGCAGTGAAGTGTGGGCCACCATTCTGGCTCTGATCTGGCTTCATGGTTTCAAGATGGATGCAAAGGACGAGTGGGAGCTTCTGGCTGCAAAGGCTGTGTCATGGCTCAGTGCGCAAAAAGGTAGTAAACACAAAAATAAGCATTCAGTTTGTGATGGCTATACTGAGTTGCTACAGTCGTTAAGATTAATGCTAACTGGTTATTTTGTTTTGTGTGTTCCTTTTTTTTCCAGCACCGTCTGTGACAGAGTGTGTGGAAGCCGGAAATATATTGTTGGGTTGCAGTGTGCAAAAAACTGCCCTTGGCCTCTGAGGTTTTTTATAAACTAACAACTTCTTTATGATTCATACACAGAAGCAGATTTACTTCATACTTCATCCACATTAATCTTTGCATCGTCCAACTTTATTATCTAATGTGCCTTATTTTATGCTGCGTGTGTCCAAAGTCAGCTTTGTAAGAGTAGCAGAGATTATTGCTTTTCTATTCTAACTTTAATGTTGCTGTTTGCTTGAAAGCATCAAATATTAAACAAATAAAAACACACATGAGTTTGGACCCATCATTCCTTCTAATGAGTCACCATGAAAAAAATAAATAATTTAATTTTAAAATATTTAAAAAGACCAACACACCTGGCCAGTTCTATCTTTCAACACATTTTTTAATCATGGTTGAGGAAAATATGCAGCTTAAATTCAAAGTCATAGTGAAGCAAAATTCTTCCTTATTCCAATGCATATCTTTCATTTTTTAATTCATGTCATGTAAGTAAACAGCTGGACATAATTTCCACTAACAAATGAGACCTCATCATCAGCCATGTCTCACAGCGAGTGAAATCAAGGCCAGCAGAGGGAATGCATAGCTAGATTTGTTCTGCAGTCATGAGCCATCCATCACATACTCTTAATACAACCACAAACAAACTATAACTTGTTCATCTGAGTAATGGCGGCTACAAAAAAGCTATTTTTAAACCTCCATGTTTTACATTTTGAAACCAGGAACCTTTGCCCAGAAGGTAGAAACTGAAACTCACTATGCAACAGGTGTGAGCCATCAAGAAAAATTAAACCAGCAAACTGCTGTAACGGTCTGGTGTACAGGGATGCTCGGCTCAGCTGTGGATCAGCCTGCTCAACCACTTAACAATTTGATCGAGTGAGTTTCAGTTTTTTACAGATAAGTATCCAACCAATGACCCTTAAATATAGATCAAACGGATTCAATGAAAGCGCATTAAAATAAACTCATCACGGTTGTATCAATGTGGAAATGAGATCAGAACATGGTTTCTTAACGGAGGGCTGCAGGCCTGGACTGGGACAAAAAAATCAGCCCTGATATTTTAGGTCCAGGCGTTACCATGTTCAGTCCAAAATGAAAAAAACAAAAAACAGATGTGACACGTGTAATGTGATCATCAGAGAATATGATTTTTATAAAACATTTATTATTATTTTATAAAGATTTTCTTACACTGTGCTTAGCTCCTTGTATGAATGTGTAATCACATGTCTTTGATAAATAAAATATTTAATCTTGGATTTGTGTAATTTGTGGCTATTGAATAAAAGTTAGTCATGTATCCACTGATAAAAACAGATGGCTGAAAGAAATGTTTGATGTAAAAAGGAAACACAGTGTTGTGCTGTTGAACTGTGAGTTTCTAAATCACCAATGTTTAAATGCCGAGAGGAGACTAGCAGCCCTGAGTCTGCATGTAAAACATTAAACTCCATAGCAGTGATACCTGTTCTTACACAGGTATGCCTATTCTTCTTGTTCTTCTTGTTTCATTGGGACTTTACTGTCCCAATGAAACAAGAAGATCTTGTTTTAAAGTACATTTTTTGCCATCCCGTAATCTCAAGAATGTTTATGTTAGATTCTGTTTTTAATCAGGTTGTGATCTTAGAGTCAATCTCATAGCACTCGGCCTGTGCTTCAAGGATTCTGATAGTTAGTATGACTCCGGGGTTTTGACTCATTTAAGTCGGTGTTTTGCTGGGAGGAGAGAAGAGAGGCATGTAAGACTGCAAATCTGCTTCTTGGTCCCAACTCTGGATAGTCATGTTTTTAATATGTGTTTAATAAATTTTATTTAGAAATAAATTTCTAGAAATGAGAGCGGCTCCATCTAAGGAATGTTGTCTCTCCTAACAAGACCGGGTTTCCTCTGGAAAGTTTCCCAATTATCTATGAAGCCCACATCGTTTTTTGGACACCACTCAGACAGCCAGCAAGGAGAACATGCGGCTAAATATGTCACTCCTGGTCTGACTGGGGAGGGGACCGGTGAAAACTACAGACTCCAATATTGTTTCCAAAGTTACACACCGATTCAATATTCATTTTGGTGACCTCCAATTGACGTAACCGGGTATCATTACTGCCGATGTGAATTATAATTGTACTGAATTTATGTCACGATCCTGGGTCTTATGACCCAGTGTTTTGAGTTTCGTTTATTTGGATGTTTATATAATTAAGCTCATGAGTTTTTCTAGTTCTTTGTTATTAGATTCCCCTTGTGTCTTCCAACCCCTGTTAAGTCTCCCTTGCCCTTCAGTGTTTCTAGTTTTGCTTCCCTTTCCGTCCAACCTGATTACTTCCAGCTGTGCTCTCCTTCTGTCTCTCATTCCCTCGTTATCCCTCAGTGTATTTAAGCCCTGTGTTTCTCTTTGTCAGTGTCGTAGTCCCCCTCACGGCTGTGTTTCCTTGTGTGTCAGTTTATCCATGTCCCAGTTTAATTTAGTTTAGTTTACCATGCCATTCTGCAATAAAGCAACTTTTTGAATTTAATTTTGTTGTCGTGAGTTTTGCGTTTGGGTCCTTCTCCTGCCTGTACACAGCTGAAACATGACAATTTACGTTTACCCTTAGCCAGCAGTTTTAAATTTTCCTCAATGTCACCTTCTCCGGTCCCTGGAAGATAATTGACCATGGTTGCTGGTGTCTCTAACTTCTAATGTCTCAGAACAGAATCGCCAATTAAAGAAGTATAAAAGTTACATTTCCTCAGTTAGAATATACAATTTAATCAATTGGTAATGGAGTAATGCTTAGTTAAAAAGCTGAGTTAAATAAATGTGTGGTGAATAATTGTTTAAATTATGTATCTTCAGTTGCTGCAACTCTGTTATTAGTACATTCAAATGATGATGAATTACCATCACCAACTGGTAGAATATGGAGATGAAGCTCATCAGCTATTATTTGAAATAAAAGCTCACAAAGTTTTGATTTTAAACAGAAAATAAGAATCACTGCTTAACCTTCAATGTTTTTAGGTTTTTAACTTCCCATCTCTGCTGATATCAGATATCTGATGTCCACAAAATAATAATATAAAAAGAACATCTGACATCAAGTCAGTATCTGATTGGTGCTCTTATAAAAACCTTTCCCTAAATATTAAAAAACCAAAAGAAGTCATTGCTTTCAGGCGACAGAGAGGGGCGCTCAGGCCACTGGAATCTGGAGGTGAGGAGGATGAGGGGGTGCTTGCTTTATATTTCTGGGAGTTGCCATCAATGAGGTCCTTAAATGGACAACGAATGGTGCTCCTATTATAAAACAGGCACAACAGGGACTTTATTTCCTCAGAATACTGAAGAAGCCCCACCTGTCTGCAAATCTATTAGAGCATTTCTACTCTCAATATAAAGCATCCTGTTGTACTGTATAACTGTCTGGTTTGGGAACAGCTCAGCAGCAGACAGCAAAACTCTCTAGAGGGTGATAAAAACTGCTCAGGACATCACTGGCCAGCCTCTGCCGCCTCTGGAGGACATCCACTGGTCTCTTCCCTCTGCCCCCCTTTAGGCAAATGGCACAGGTTACTGAATTCACCCACTGTACCGACTTCCACAGTCGCTAGAGGCCGGGGATGAAGCCTGCCTATTTGCCTGACGCGCTGTCAACTTTACGCAATAATGCGAGAGGTGGAATTGTTTGCTTGTTTATTAAAGTGCTTTGAGAGTTTACAGAGTAATGTCATCGGCTCCTGATTCAGACTCTTACAACGTCACAGGCTCTAATGTAACAAGGCGAAACATGTTGTGCAGCGGTCAACAAAAACTACGGCTACCCAGCCCTCCTCTCTGTCAAAATCAAAACCAGTGAATGACAGACTGACAACGCCCATTTATGTCACCGCTAGCACCCACGTGACTCCCATAACAACCAAACAAATAAAAACCCAGTGATCATCAAAATTCAAAACATTCAATTATGGCTCCTACACTACACTATCACAGACTTGGATGTCCACAGCACCTCGCCATATACAAAAGATTAAGAGGTGTTTTTCTAGGCTTTTTATAAAGATTACAAAACACAAATAACAAAAATGACAACGCTATTTTGATGTTGTCTAATGTAGTGCAAAAAACGAAATAAACCCAAAAATTAATAAATAAAGTAATTTTTTATCTTAAACTACTGGATAACAGCTCTCTTCTAATAACATTGAAGATGCTGTTTAACTGCTTTTCAGCAGTAGTGCCCTACTAATTAAAGACTTGTTACTTATAGAGGTACTTCATAAATAAGAGGGGAAAAAACCTATACATTAAAAAATACAACTTAAAGCTGTAGCGTCCAGATTACTTACGTAGTCAGCTCCTTCCGTGCAACTGATATAAGATGCAGTAAGCTGAACACAGCTTCAACCGCCTGTTTGTTGAAAAATAGTAACAGACTGCATTTTCTTGTTAGTAACTGTAATGGCGTTGTAACGATAGGAATAGTAATTAGTTAGATTACTCGTTACTATATATGTAACACCGTTATTCCCATCACTGATAATCAGTTATAATGGCTCAATGTGCGGAAAAGAATCATAAGTCACAATCATTTCTATTGAGAGCTCCAGTATTTTTTCTTAATCTACAGGCTGTAATCAGCTGATCTGTTGCTCTTTGTGGATGCACACAACTGAATTCAACAAGATGTAAGCAGATATTTCATAAGTTGTCCTAACTGTTTTTCATCTCTATACACTGACAGTACACTGTTTATGGTGTCTTTAGATTAGACAATATACAGTTGGAATTCAAAGAATGAACGTCAGCATCATCAGCTTAATGTCATGGTCGGACGGTCCTGCTTGTGTGTGTGTCTCCCTCTCCTCCCCTCCCCTCCCCCCCTACTCTCCAGGTCTGGCCACGCCTCCGGGAGAGAATGGCCGACCCCTGACCGGGAAGCGTTTCCGCTCGGCTGCCAACACACCCGCGTGTAATCTTCCACCCAGCTGCTGCTAATCTTTCCTCGCTTGGGCTGAGGTATTTACCAGACGGCAGTCGACGCTGGATTGTACTCGAAGCTTGGTAGTTTAGTGTGCTCGCAATTCTGTGACTTAGCATAGTCAGGCTAGCCTTCTCATCAGATGTTGTTGTTACTCGTCCATCAGGTGGAGAAGTACAGAGCGGAGAAAAGGGCTCGCTGGTTTTATCTAGTGATGGGCAGATGAAGCTTCATGAAGCACTGAAGCTTTTCATCCAATTGGTTCACTCCAGTGCAAAGCTTCTTGAAGCTTCATTTGCTCTAGTAGGACACCTACTGGACGTAAAAATATTAGTTGGCATGAATTTGAAGAGTGTGGCATTTTGCACACAGCCTGTAAATGTCAACAACAAAAGGAGTGTGTAAAACATGTATATTGTAGTGATGGCAGTATACTGTGTATATTTATAGTGGCAGTATGGAAAATGATCATTTGGAAATGCTTAAAATGGAAATGATCATTTACTGTGAGGTGAGGTGTGGTTGGGGTGTGGACAGTAGTTGTGCTTTTGTAACGTTGAGGTATGGACAGCTACACACTGAGGCTTCAGTCCTGCCTGTTCACATTTTATTCTGTAAAAACTAAATTTTCACTGCTTTTATGACCTTTTTAGTGGGGAGAGCATAGCTAGGATTTAATGATTTAACAAATCTTTTGAATCCTTTGTCCTCCACAATGCTAACTGGCTGGGAGTCCTCAATCACCATGCCAACCAGGTCTTCATCTATTTGAGATTGTTCTCCTGAGGAAAGACAATAAAGACAAAGCACAAATATAAATATCACACACATAACGTATTGCATTGTATAATATTGTTATATCATTTAGTAACATTACAGCATGCTATATTATCATTGCATTTGATGGCTCACCTGGTCTTGCTCCACAATCAGTGTTCCCCTTATTCTCATGCAAAGCTCTGTAGTGCCTAAGCGTGGATGAGGTGTTGTTGTTATATCACAGCTCCCTGGCACATAGCAATCACTTCACCTTGTACAAAAGTACAGACAGCTTAACATAGGTTTTATTGCACCATCAGTATCATGAAAATACATCTTCTGTAGAAATGTACATACCTTGTTGGGAGATATAAGCTCAAAATGTTCCCACACAGGGAGGACATCCTTCTCTTCTTAGCTGGCTCCATTCTCTCCTGACTTTCTCTCCTCACTCTCCTAAACCTCCAAACTGTCTCCAAACTCTCACTAACTCTCACTAACCGCAACTCTCCATCAAACACCCACATTTTGAATGGAGTCTGAGGGGTTTATATCGCTGTCATAGCTCGCGGCAAAGTTCGAACCGCTTCCTGAACCAGTCACGTGGTACAGCCGGGCTGCGAGGCTTTGGACGTCATCATTTTCAGCTCCCATAAATGAAGCAAGCCTCAATACGCGCTTCGCGGAAACGCCCCCTCCATTACTCGACACACGCTTCGAAGCCTTGATACAGAACGTCACATCACTAGTTTTATCACTCGGGAGGAGAAACACACACGGAAGGAGCACACACGGATTTTCACTGAAGAGTAGTGATTAGTGGTGGGCCGATCGATCCAAATATCGATACCAAGTTGGCATCGGTATCGAATCAATACTAGGCTGGTGAGATCGATTCTTTACTTTTAAGTTCCGCTCTTGTTTGTAATGCTGTGCTTTTGGCAAAGGTCGCTGGACTTGCTGCTCCTGTGTCAGCGCAGAGCAGACGGACTTTGCTCCCTCATCAGCGCAGAGCAGACGGACTTTGCTCCCTCTTCCCCCTCTTGTGTTGACATGTTGCGCTGTCACTTGACGTGACTTAGACAAGTTGGGGGTTGTTAAGTTGTTTACATATTATTTATATTTTTATCAGCTGTTATTGTTGTTGAGAATTTTAATTGTAAATTTTGTATTATAGTTTCCCAACAGTACTTGTTTTGATTTGTTTACTGGTTTGCACAATTTATTGTAAAATTTTTATTAAAAAAATAAAAATAAAATGAGTAAACCGCCACGGCAGACCTGATGGCATTTTCATGCTTCACAGCATGATTTATTCTTACAATAATCACATGGCTGCTGTAACAGTACATTTTGCTGCAGCTCTCCTGCTGCCAGCTATACACATCACAATCAACAACAACACAGAACACAGCACAGGTTTTAAGCCGGCGAGGCATGATTGTAGATGCCGTGCAACTGAGTCCATCTCAGGGCGTACCCCGCCACATACCCCCTTTGCCCCTGAGACCGAGCCTAACCTACTCGCCCCCTCCGCGAGCAGGCGAGGGAATCGGCCCGTACCATCGGCGCCCCAGGTAGCCACCCATGTGGCAAACAGCAGCGGGGCTGCAGGCATGGAAGTGAGCCGGGGCTCACAGGCAGCTGAGCAGGCGGTCAGCGCGCAGTACCACGCAGCGTGCTGGCCTCTGTTGGAAGAGAGGCTGGACCGGACAGCACGCTGCCCTCGGATGTGGCAGGACCCCCCGCACCTCCGTCTCCAGCTTGGCAGGTCCCGCTGGCGCGCCAGCCTCCAGCTCACCCCGAACCGGTCCTTCCCATGCGCTGTCCACCGTTACAATAATCACACGATTTCTCTAACAGTACATTAGTACAACGGCTGCAGCTCGCCAGCTGTACACATCACTAACAACAATACAAGCAGAGCACAGGTTTTAAGCCAGCCAGGCGTGATTATAGACGCGGTACAGGTGAGTCCATCTCACCTGCAGTGGCATCGCAGAGCAGCCACAATAAGAAAGCATTTTCTATTTAATTATAAACTTTATCCTAATTATTAGGGGTGCAACGATACACAAAATTCACGGTTCGGTTCGGTTCGATACTTTGGTGTCACGGTTCGATATTTTTTCGATACAAAAAAATGTTCATGCCTTTTTAATTTGTCATTTATTAAAATTATAAATATATATTTTAACTCAAAAGTACAGTTTTTAAATTTAACCCTAACCCTTGTGCGTGTTTTTTATTTTGACAGCGAATGCGCACCTGTGGACCACTTATGTGCAGCCCTGGTTATTTAGCTCATCATATCGCAGCCACAGAAATTATTTTGTCCATATAAACCATAAAGCTGCACTTTCTTTTGCCTTATAGTCTGATTTGTCATAACTTCTCCGTTTTGTGGTAAGCTTTTCTTTGGCTGTCACTTCTTCACCCTGACCTGTCTTATTTGGCTCAGCAGAACTGAAATGCTTTTACACACGCACTCACATAAGCTCAGCGATTCTCTGCGCGATCAACCTCTCACATGTTTAAGCTTGCTGCGGGAGATTTCACTTGTCATGTTTGCATAGTAAGCTAACGATTAATAAGACGATGTCAGAGGAATTGGTGCACAAATTATCATCACTCACAGATCAGTGCTGTCGCTCTCTATACACAGTTCGCACGATTGCAAAGTGAAAGCAAAAAAACAAGCGCAAATTCAAACGCGATTTCAATATGTCACATATTGACAGTGGCTCACCGATGCCAATGACATAATTACCCAGCTACATTTCTGAAAGAATGCAAAAGCATTGACATATATTTTTCCTACAATAGCCCGACGGGCAGGGCAGAGATAGATTTTGGTAGCCCGACTGAAAAAATCGCTAGCTCCGGGACGTCGGGCTAGCGATATTGCGAGCCCTGTATCTGATTGAGGAATCACTCATCTTTGGAAAAGAGAGTTTATTACAGAGAAATGGCTCTTTCCAAAATAAAAGCTATACTATCCGCTTCTTCTGGGCTATATTCTCAGCAGCATAAGGAGAATCATGTGCTAACAGCTGTCTAAATGACTCGGCTAAAGTTAGTAGCATGCTTGTTGTTTTTGTCTTTGCACTAGGATGATGTCGGCGTAAATGTGCAGTCATATTCGTTGTGTTCCCACTAGTGCTTTCAGGTTAATCTCGTTGAAATGACCTTAACGCCACAACACGGCAAATCTCCGTTAACGAGCTACCGCCGATCGCTCCGTGCATGGGGCTAGACGGCCAACACGTTAACGAGCTAACTGCGCTAACACACTAGTTCACACCAATGTAATTAAGCATTGCATGGCACATCCAACATACTGTTTTACTTTAGTCCATGACTCGCTTACCTTCAGGGTCATACGTCACATGAAAACCAAAATAATTCCAAACGCCAGATCTGAATGAGGTTCAATTTGCTTGTTGCAAGCAGAGCTTAACTTCTGTCTCGCTAGCTTGCCCTGCGCTCTTCCTTCTGACTATGCTGTCTGTGTTGAGCGCTCAGTGGATCTGCGCTCGACAGTGCAGCCTAGGCAGAGTAGTCGAACACAGATTCACTGAGCGCTCAACACAGACAGCATCGTCAGAAGGAAAATTGATAAAATAAATTACAAATGTTGTATTGTTCGATACATATGCGTACCGAACCGAAAGCACTGTATCGAACGGTTCAATATCGATACGAATATCGTTGCACCCCTACTAATTATGTCCTGGGTTTTAACTATTTAATAATAAAAAATGAACCATCACAAAAAACACTTAAGGTTATAAAAATTAATTGAGATTTAGCAATTCAATGACGTATCCACCTTATTTATTGAAAAGTATCGGTATCGGCAATACTGGCCCGCATTTACTTGGTATCGGATTGATACCAAAATATGCAGTATCGCACACCACTGGTAGTGATGTGCGGATAGATAATGAAATATCGATTCCTCCGATACCAGTAATTTATGTTCTATAATCGATTCTCACATTAAAATATCGATATTTTAGTAATTTAGAGTAAATTTGTAGTTTATCATTAACAGGAACACAGTGGAAAGAAACTATAACATTCGGATTGTCTACATTCAGAGGAACTACTTCCTCTTCTGCCTTTCATAGTCATGTGCAAAATATGGCTGTATAAATGTCTCGCAGCCCCTTGGCGTGCGCACTCACAACAATGGCTGAGCGTAATTGTGCAGACGTATTTTACCTCCACAAACAGCTGAGACGTGGTTTGCGATACATGTGGCAAAAAAGTGCTC